TGGGTTAGTGCTGGGTTAGTGCTGGGTTAGTGCTGGGTTAGTGCTGGCTTTGGCACTGTCAGGGCAGCAGTTGGGCTCCGTGAGCTCAGAGGGCTTTTCCAACCTTAATTATCCCACAATCCCATGATTCTGTGACTCCATAATCTCTGCTCTCCAGCCCAAACCACCCCAGCATATGAACCCTCTGCTCCCTGGTTTATCCTCCCCAGGGGACCACCAGGATTCACTTCCAGGCAGGAGCTTCTTTCCTGTTGTTACCACCAGGAGAAACCAGGGAAGGTTGTGGGGAAACCCTTCCCACGTCCTCCAAGGTGTTCCTGTCCATGTTTTAGATCTGTGCTAGGGGTGGAGAAGCATCTCCTCTGCTTTTCCCTCCTCTCCCTGGCTTCAGAGATGCTCCCTGAGCCTACAAATATTTGGAATGTCAATACTCTTCCTGCTGGAAGCACATCTGGACCTCAAATTTGGATCCCCAGCTTTCTCTCTGCCTGTTTTATTCATGCTAATTCAATGCCATCAACAAAACACTCCCATTTTACCTTAAATCTCCCATTCCCACCTGAAAGTCTGCAGGGGAAACACACCTTGCCATGCTCTAAGCAAACAATATTCACATTTTACAGTTCCCAACCTGGCAGAATGTGATCTCCTGGAGTCCCCTGGTGAGATAAAGTAACCATTTGCTGTTCACTCCTGACCTGAACTCCCATTTATTCCACTGAAATGTGGTTATCAAGCTCTACAGAGCAACTTTCATGCTAAAAATAATCACAGTTTTCCAAATGTATTACAGAATTTCTTAGAAGACAGAAGCCCAGGGAGGATTCCCCAAAGCAGAATGCAAGGCTGAAGAAATGAAAGAATAATTTAGAGCCTTAGAAAGTGGATCATTTATAATTTTTTTTCCCCCTTAATATTGCAAAATTCATAAAATCAATGATTCATGGGAATATTTGCCTGGCCATCGAGGCAGCTTTGTAACAGGGTAAATAATTGAGATGCCTTTATTACATTATTTATTGGAAAATTCACAGCATAAATAATTCAAAATCAGCTAATTATGTGGAAACTGAGGGCTAAAGGGGGGCAACACAGTCCATTAGTTATGGCCACACAGTGGAATTTAATTCCCTTTTTCCAGGAGCAGGAGGTTCTGGCAAGAGCAGGGACAGTGGGGAGGCAGCTCCTGAGGGCACGGGGTGATGGGAGTCCTGCTGGTGCTGCTCCCAAACTGCATCCAGAGGGTGTAGGATCCCATCCCCATCCCTGGGATCTCTGGGAATCAGATCCTGAACTGGTTGCAGGTCTGGCTCTGCTGCCTGGGCTGGGTGATTTCAGACCTGCATGGAATCATGGAATGGTTTGGGTGGGAGGGGACCTTGGAGATCATCTCATTCCACCCCCTGCCATGGGCAGGGACACCTTCCACCAGCCCAGGTTGCTCCAACCTGGCCTTGGACACTTCCAGGGATTCCAGGGGCAGCCACAGCTTCTCTGGGCAACCTGTGCCAGGGCCTCCCCACCCTCCCAGGGAAGGGTTTTCTCATCATGTCCCATTGAAACCTTTTCTCTTTAGTTTAATCCCAACCCCTCTTGTCCTGTCACTCTGCCCTTGTCCAAAGTCCCTCTCCAGCAGGAGGAGAGTCCACCTTACAGGCAGCTCTGATTTCCCTCTGGAATCCAGGTCTCCCTTCCTGGTTTTGCTCAAGGTCTGCCCAGCAGCCAGTTGTGCCAGAGAGGGGAAATTTTGGAATAATTAGTGGAAAGCAGGAGCCAGCCCCTTGCTGGGCACATAGGGATGGGCCCTGGAGATTGGATGTTCCTGTTGTCATTGTGACCTTTGACTTTTGGAGGTAAGAATAGGGTATAACACAAATTAATTTTTCTCTGCCTCTTCTGATGCTGATTTTTGACTTGCACGAGCTTCATTATTAAAAGCACAACCTCTTCCCTTCCTCCCTCCCACCTCCCCGTCTTTTCTAACCTATAAAAGCACCAGCAGCCTGACAGAGCCGTGGCTGCTGCTTTCAAAGCCTGGACTTCTTCAGGAATTTGGGAATAAGCAGCTTCCTCCTCTCAGCTCTGCCTGGCAGCTCAGGGAGAGGGAATGTCTGGGGTAGGATACAAACAGGAATTATAATACAGGATTATGGCTCTGGTTTGGAAAATGCCACCCAAGCAAATGAAGAGTTGTGCACCTCCTATGTATAAAACATGAATTTTTTTGCCATGTTGCTGTAATTGGAACAGCACAGCAATTATTCTTAATTCTTCCCCGGGAGGGTGGGGAGGCCCTGGAATGGATTTCCCAGAGAAGCTGTGGCTGCCCCATCCCTGGAAGTGCCCAAGGCCAGGTTGGATGTGGCTCTGAGCACCCTGGGCTCTGGAAGTTGTCCCTGCCCATGGCAGGGGGTGGAACGAGGTGATTTTTAAGGTCCCTCCCCACCCAAACCATTCCAGGATTCCATGATCTGGAATAAAGTCCTGGTGTGGACACAGAACCCCTGGGTGGGCACAAAGCTGCTGGCACAGAGCTCAAACAGAGGGAAATTTGGGACCACTCTGGAAAGAGCCAAGTGGGTTTTATCCAAGTCACCCTCCTTGGAAGTGATAAAACAACAAGTGGATGTGGCATTCCATGATGTGGTTTAGTGGGAATGGGGGTATTTTTGCTGGAATTGTCCAAGGTCAGGCTGGATGTGGCTTTGAGCACCCTGGGCCAGTGGAAGGTGTCCCTGCCCATGGGATGGGATGGGTTTTAAGGTCCCTTCCAAACAAAACCTGGTGGGATTCTGTGTTTCTCAGCCTGCAGAGATCCCACCTATGTCCAGGAGCTGCTGGGAAATCCCCCCAGTCCCACCTACAAGCCATTCCTGCAGGGCTGGCTGGAGCTCTGGAGCCAAAGGATGGATCCAGCTGCTCCTGCAACCCAGGCAGAGCTATTTTTGATGCAAACATGGTGCTGAATTCCCCACAGGGGGGTTAAACTGGGGGTTTAAACTGGTGATCATCTGCTGCTCGGCTCGGGAGGGGTGAGAAGCCCAGAGAGGGGGTGGCTGCAGATGCTGCAGGTCTTGTTGCACCTTTGCACTGTCCCTCTGGCTCCACTTCTCCCTGCCCTGGAGCAGAAGCACTGCCAGCACCCAAAGAGTGCCCAGAGCTGGCCTGGGACACCCCGAGGAGCCCTGTGGATCCCAAAGGTGCTCCCAGAAATAGCGGGACTGTTGCTTTGGATGAAGCTCCTGGTGAGGCACAAGTGCCATCAGGGACCATGAGAGGGTTGGGGAGAGGGCAGGGCCACCCAGCTGGGGATGGGACAAGGGACAGGATGAGGAAATGGCCTCAAGGGGCACCAGGAGAGCTTTAGGTTGGGTATTAGGGAGAATTTCTTCCCTGAAAGGGTTATCCAGCCCTGGCACAGCTGCCCAGGGCATCTCCCCATGCCCAGTCCCAAGTGTCCCCTGCCCGTGGGGACCCTGCCAGGCAGGGAGGGGGGTGCTGGGGTGCTGTCAGAGCTGCCCTGCTCTGCGCTCTGCCACCCACCCCTGTGCCAGGGGGGCAAAGCTTTGGAGGTGTTTTTTCCCTGCCAATACCTTTGGAATCTCCGCTCTGCTCAGCATTCCAGGCCATGCTGCAGCCAGCACACATCCCCTCATGCTGTCCTCTGCCAGAACACTCCCCCTTCCCCCTGGCCCTGCACAGAGCTGCCTTTCAGCTCCAGACCTGCTTTTGGCTCAGCCTGGCCCGTCCCCAGAGGGGTCATTAATTCCAAGTCGTGGATGATTTGCCACCAGCAGCACCAGGCTGGTGGGACAGCCCCTGATGGACCTCGTGGGTCCCTCCCAGCTCAGAATATTCAGTGAAAAATAATCTGTGACCACTGAACCCTGTGGGTCCCTCCCAGCTCAGAATATTCTGTGAAAAATAATCGGTGAAACTCCGACCCCTGAACTTCGTGGGTCCCTCCCAGCTCGGAATATTCCGTGGAATGAATCCGTGGAGCTCTGAGGGCTCAGCCTTCAGTTCTGCAGCTTTTGGGGACGTTGGTTGTTGGTTTTGCCTAAGCCAGTTGTGTCTGGGACTTGTCAGCCCTAGCAGTGCTCCCATCTGGGTGCAATCCAGACCTCGTGGCACCCTCAGGAAGCTGAGAGGAAACCGCTGGTTCTGGCAGAGGAAGAGCTCAGTTATTCCAGGCAGCTTCTCTGGGATGTTTTCCGCCTCCTGGGAACTGGGAGAGTCAGATCCTGGCTCCTGACTTGTCCTGCTGATGGAGTCTTTGCCCACCCACCACGTCTGTGTCTGACCAGGATGAGAGCCCACGTAGGATCTCGGGTTTGCCTCTCACCTTTCAAGCTTGGACTCAAAAAACGTGCCTTTGTCAGGCCAAGGGACTCCCCCAGCCCAGGGGGAAGGTGCAGCCAGGAGGGAAAAAACAAGATGTGGGAATCCCTGGGAGACAAAAAGGTGCTGGTCCTGCAGCACTGGAGCAGCCCGGGGTGTCCCTGAGGTGCAGGAAGGATCTTGAGAGCTGCAGAGAGGGCTGAGCTCTCACAGCCTCTGGAGAAGGCACCACCCTCTCCTCAGCCCAGGGTGGGCCTGAGCACCCTGCTCTTCACCTGCCCCTCATCCAAGGGTGCTGGGAGCTGGAGAGGTGCTGGGAGAGAAGATGTCCCTGCTGAAGACAAGGTTGAAGAACTGGATTGGCAGTGGTGACCGCCCTCCCTGCTGAGCTCCATCCCACCCTGAGTTGCCTGTGCAGAGATAATAAAAGAAATAAAATAAAATAAAATAACATAAAATAAAATAACATAACATAAAATGTGATTATGCAGCTGAATTTGACAGCTCTGCACCTGCCTACCCTGGCACAGCTCAGGCTCCTGGCACAACCCAGCCTGCTGTGGGGAAGGAGCTCACCCAGCATCCTGCTCCTCCCAGAGCCCAGGAACTGCACGTCCATCTCCCCTGGGCCTGGCTGTAGCCATTAATCCAGGCTAAAATTCCCTCCAGACCTCACTCCAGGAATCCCAGAGTGCTCCTTTCCCTCCCTGCTGAGGTGGGCAGGCTGCACACCAGGCTTTGGAATTGGTTCAGCAATCCCTTCCCTGGCCAAGGGCTCCCCCTAAAACCCATCCCAGGTGATCTGTGAACCATTCCCACCATCAGGATCACTTGGAAGAGGGATCTTTTTCTTTATCCAATGGCTCCACGTGGTAATGGATGCTCTCTGATCCTCCTTGGAGGGTTTGTTGTGCTCCTTCCACCACAGATGGGGAAAAACTGAGGCACAAAGGGTTGGAAAAACCCTCTAAAATCATCATCCCACAGACTGGGGGGAGAGTCAGGTGTGCTCTGCCTGACCTTGTGAAAGGTCATTTTTGGGGAATAAATCCCTTTCTTTCTGGCAGGTTTTGTGCTGAGTGTGTGTTTTATTTCCTGGGTTTGGGGTTTTTTTCAGGCAGGAAATCATGGATAATGAATTGGGATTGAAACAAATCGCTCTGAGCTGCCTGGCCAAGACCAAAATCTCCTTGTTTGTGGGGCTGAGTCAAGAGTCCAACCCTTCCCAAGGCCACCCCTGGCCCCAAGTGCCACATCCACACATTTTTTTGAACCCTTGATGCAGCCAGACAAAGGCACAGCCTCTCCAACCTCTCTTTTCCTGGAGAGCAGTTCAGAGGGGACTAAAAAAAAAAAAAATAAAAAAAATGGACAACTCCATTTATTATAATAAACCAAGCACGTTGAGCAGCCCTCCCCAAATTTACAACCGGCGCAGAGCTTCACCCAGACATTTTATGAGCACAGTGTGCCACTCTCCATGGAGACAGGAATGTTTATTTAGCCCAAACCCGAGCTGCCCCTGCTCAATGGGCTT